CCTGCCCCGCCCCTCCCCCTCACTCACCCAATTGCCTGATGCTGCGGAAGGCCCGCGCCACCCGCGGCCTTTAAGGAAGTGGACACACGGCCCCTCTCCTTCCCTTCCCTTCCCTTCCCTTTCCTTTCCTTTCCTTTCCTTTTTGCCTCCGGCACATCAGAGTTTGAACGCAGTGCTCATCCGCGGACATGGACTGATATGGGTGGAAATGTTCAGTCAAAACTATGCTGGCTCTCATCGTAACCGGACGATTTTGACTCTTGTATTTCATGCTACGGAAATACGGAAATTCATCGCGTATTGAGCTTTGTAGGTCACATTAGATGCAGAAGGACAGTTGAGATGATGTTGACTAAGTTGTGTGCACTGCTAATCATTACCATGAATCTCGTTCGACTAAACATAATCCAACAATATTCTTTCACGTAACAAATAATTAGGATTCACTAATGTTCTACACATATTTGCTTGTTCCGTCCATTTCACATATTAAAGACCACTGTAAAGAACCAACTTACAATGAATGGCGACACGAGGAAATAATGGAATTTAGGTCAATGCTAACAACGTTCTTAATTAAAAGCTGAATTCAAAATACGCGCACTTATTATACCTAGACATTGCACATTAATTTGCAGGATACATTCGTATTCTCTTACTGGAGTTTTCCCTCGTTTGTCGCAGAACGAAGAAGGTTTGCGTAACGCGGAAACGATTTCAATGTCCACATCCCGAGAAACGCAAACTGGAACCGCGCTAAAAGCCCGCGAATGAGAAGAGACATTTGCACATCTCGTGTCCGATTCATTCGGCGCTCTCTAAAACAAACGCCGGCCACGCCGATGCGCCCGCGGAGTTTCAGTTTGCTCTGCTGACGAAAGCGGCGCTGCGCCGCGCGTCTTCCGCGGCGGAAGGAGCTGCGCGCGATGACCAGGGGGGAGGGGAGAGGAGGCGCGCCGCCTTTCTATTTAAGTGAGCGGCAAGCGCGTCAAGAACAAAAGGGCGCGTGCAGCGATAGCGATCCGCGCGGCCCAATTGCCAACCAACGGACTCAATTGCAGGGCTCCACACACGACGCACGTGCGCGCGTTTACACGGAAAAGCCACCCGCAACCGGAACGCGTCGCGTTAACAGAGGGTTTTGGCGGGAAGAGCTGGAGACTTCAATGCGCGGTTGCGAAGGAAACCCTCGCGCCCGGTAATTTTCAGTAAACGTCGTCCGACGTTGGAGTACTTGAAAAGTTACAGAAACGATACTTTATCCTTCGTTTAAATGCTTACAGTAGCTATTACTAGACAAAGAAAGTTTTAAAATAGACAAAAGACGTTCAGGTTGAAGTGACGTGAAGCACAAAGATGTACTGTATATTTGAAAAATATGAAAGTAACTAAACGCTTCTGTAAAGTGAAAGAGTATATTTGTGTCGGGACTATACTTAAGAACAAAGGACAATAGGAATAAAAGTAGGAAGCAGCGAAAGGGAGAACGAATCAAATTACTTGCACCTGTTTGCTCGGTCTATCCTTCTTCCCCCCTGCTCTGCTTTCCCATCACGCACTGCCCGCGGTCCACTTTCGCCGCCTCCGCATCTATTTCTTCTTCTTCTTCTTCTTCTTCTTCTCCCTTCGAGATATCTGAGGACGACGCGCGTTTGCAGGTGAAGATCAGAAGTGGCTTTGTTTACTCCCCTTGGCGAATGAACATGACCGTTTTGAAGCCTTTGATGTACAATGTGAAACGCGGGGATATGTACTATGTCGGGTCTTTTTGACCCAACTAAAAATTTTTGTTAAATTACTCAATTTTTACTTTCTAGGAAACATTTTTTTAATATATCCTTTTCATTATTTAAACGAACGATACATTCTCATTTTCTCCAAATAAATGCCCACCCTATCCTGTTACGCATGCGCGTTTTTGGCGACTGCGAGTCATTTTGACCCATACTTCGTAGAACTAAGGTTAACTGTGGACATTCTGAAACAATTTTACCGCGCTTTGTTCAACGAGTTTCCTATTCTCTGTTGTTTGTATTCAATTTTATTCCGAGTTGATTTTCCAAAAAAAAAATTCGATACAGAAGAAGATGAATAGGTATTAATCAAACAAGATATTCTAAACTTTTACAATTTTTTTAAAGCAAATAACGTTTATCTGGTTTCATACCCGTTTCAGGGGTATGGTATGAAAGAACCAAGTTACAGTTTAAAATTCTACTTATAATCATCGTATTGACACGTCCTCTCCGTCTTCCTGAGTCGGCCACTAACCGTTCGCGACAAAGCGGCGCGTGGTATCAGGAGCCCTTCTCCTTGACTGTGACCGGCGGCGGTGGCGGCGGCGGCTGCGGCCTCCAAGGCCGAGAGGGCGGTCCGCTGACCCGCGGC